TTCCACATCTGTCGCTAAAGTAAAACCGTTATACTGAACTTATAAGAGGTAGTTTTGGGTATAACCAGTATTTAAAATTCAAAAAAAAATTTACTTGCACAAATTAACAATTTTGTATAACAAAAGTAAATTTATTTTAAAAAATTTAAAAAAATTTATATGCACAAACCTATTTTTTCAAATTTTTTCTTGCATATTAAAATATTTACTTGCACTGTGCATGCATGTGCAAGCCAATTTTAAACACTGGGTATAACACTATTTTACAGAATACAAATACGCATACATAAATAGTAAGGGAGAGTCAGATATTCTGGTACAGAAAGTAATGTGATGCACTGAAAGTATCTTGTAATACAATAACCAGAAATGAACAATTTAATTCGCCTTATCAAAGCGAATCGAATGGTGTTAAATACATAGCAAAAATTAATCTCGACCACACACAAAGGAATGTTATTTAGTTACTAAAAACCTGTGATTGCTAAAAATATAACCTTAATAAATAATAATGCATCTAGAAAGGAAAATACTATTTATTGAAAATATTGTGTTACATGATTTACAAATATGAAAATAAATCGAATGTTTGTGATGGAGATCTGGGACATGGGGATTTAGGTGATGAAGAGAAAGTTTGGTTTTCCTTTTTCTTTGCTGGAGTGTCCTGCACTGGAGTTATATAGAGAATATTATCACCGGTTAACATTTTATTTATTTTTTTAATTGTTGATAATACATCAGTCTGTAATAAAAGTCAGTTTCTGTTAGCATTTAATATAAAATGTTTATGAATTTCATTTTTAATTCATACCTGAAAATTCATTAAGTATCCTATATCAATAGCAAATTGTTCAAAATTGTCAAAGGATACAGGTATTTTGATATATTTGGATCGTTGAAGAAAATATATTGACACCAAAGGGCGAATTAGATACTTTATAATAATATAGCCATCTAGAAAAAAAAATATAATATATGTATATATCAGAATTTATTAGTTACTCCTAATCACAATATTCACAATACTTACTGACAGCTTGTATCAGATAAACATGTGCTTTATCCTTTGACACATTTTCTAGTAACCTATTCAAAATTCGCATTGAATTTTGACATAGTTTAATCTGATCACCATTTTCTTTGGCTAAAAGGGCTCTTCTGCCATATGAAAATTCAACGATAATGAAAGCTTGATTTTTTTGTGTCATTTTAATGATTTTAAAAACTTTATCAACTTTATGTTTTTTTGTGTCGAGTGTGGTCAGCTCAATCCTAAAAATAAATAAAGATTTAACAAACAAGATAGCTCAACATTTCAAAATTATAATTGATACTTACCATCCAATATCTACTACATCCTGGTGTATCCTAAATAATCAATTTAGGATATATACAATTGTGTCTATTGCATATGTCCTTTCAAGATCCAGATTATTTGATTCAACTCTGATTGGCACCTCCAGACGGACAGAACTATTTATAAAAAAATTGGTTAAGTTATCTGTTAGTAAATTGTTAAATATTTTAATAAACACTTACAAATGTGTTAAAATCTGCTACACTATATCGTAAGTTTCATGAAGATAAGAATTAAATAACCTCTTTAGAACAAATGATTCCCGAACCAAAATTGGGACATTAATTCTATCGTACATATTCTCTGTGAATTGATTTATGTATTGTTTAAATTCACTTGTCTGATTCTATGATTTTTGTTGAAGAACCATATTGAGCCATTTAGTTTGAATTTCATTTAAAGTATTAGTAACTTTTTTGAGCACTTTATCATTAGATAAGTTGATAATATGATTGAGTGATATAGATGACAAGCAATCTTTTCCAGATTTCCTATCTTCTTTTTGTTGTGTATCCAAAATCTCAAGTAATTTATTATGAATGTCAACCTCATCCTAGAAAGTTAAAAAGTGAATATAACTATTATGTAAAGTTATATAAAAAAAAGAAATAAAATTAGCGAATATTAAAATACCTTTGAAAGCCTCTGAATTTCTTCTTCACCTTGTTCAATTTCAACTAGCTCTGAGTCATAAATGGTTTCTACAGATTCAGATACTGAATTTGGTGACGGTGTAATAGCTTGACAATTTTTTTTGGATACAATTTTTTTAGAATCTTCATCCTAAAGTATTAAAATAATAAAGTATTGGTTCCACTGATTCTCAATCGCTAGTTAAGAACATGCTCATATATATAATACATTTTGTTTTTTTGTTTTTTTTAATACATCTTCTGCGACTTTGCTAGTCACATTTTCAACTATCCCTCCATTGATTACAGGCCCAATTAAATTCCGTTGATTGATTGATGAATGTTAATTTGCTTCCTTTGGTGCTTTTTCTCCTATTCACTTGCTTTTTTACGGTCAGGACCCTAGTATACAAAAAAATCACAAATTAGTAACAATTCTTGATAAATATTTTTAAATCCCACCAATATTGTTAAATCCCACCCGAACATCAGCTCGTCTAGAAAGCCAACTATGCTCTCGTGAGTCTAGTACTGGATTGGCTAGAAACTTTTTGCATTAGATAACCTAGAAAGTTATCTGCGTGCCAGTACCAGTTTTGTGGCTCAGCTAAAAACTTTTGAATAACCAGCAACCTAGAAAGCCTCCATTCATGCCACTTTTTCTTTCAACTATGACCTAATTTCACTTAACTTTTTTAAAGTTGTCAAGAAGTTGTTGTGCTCTTTCAAACTGTTCTCTGTGTTCAGAGTTAGCAATACCTTTGAGGCTTTTTGTGTATTTGTCGATTTTAGCATCAAAGGGTTTAGTGTCACACTCATTTAAAAAATCTATACTATTCTAATCAACAGGATTTTTTTTAAAATATTTGTAAATATCATAAGGTTTAAACATCTTATTATTACATATAAGTTAGTTAATAGTATCATTACATATGTTTTTTTCTATAAGCTACCCCAGGAGGACCAAATTTTCTTATTTGGGTGATCTATATAAATTACCCAATCAAATTGGATGATCTACATAAACTAACCAATCAAATCATAAAACTTTTATGAAAAAAAAAGAAATGAGTGTGATCATTAACAAAAAAAATATCGGGTATACAATTTTACCTATAAATCTTGCATTTTAATTGCTTCGTTTTAGCATCCTTCCAAATAAGAAAATTTGAAAAATGGGTAAAATTGATCCCCAGGAGACATATAGGAGGACTTTCTAGGTTGCTGGTTAT